GGCGGCCAAAAAATATTACGTGTCGCGCGAGCCATCGTAGCATTGACAAAAAAAAAAAAAAAAAAAAAAGGTAAAAGGTAAAAAAGAAAATGTGACAGAGAAGAACATTAGGTTTTCTGAAAGGTGGGAGATTCAAGGGTGAAGTAATGGCAAGGGAGGTGTCACCTGAGCCGCCTAAACTGTGTTACTTGAAACTACTCTCCAAGGATTAAGCCTCCCGTTTCCCTAACTGTACCGAAATGTGTGAAATAGGAAGCGAAGGTCTAATAGTCGCTTTTTCGCGCCATTAGTGGAACCATCGGAAAATTGCGCGGGAAAGTGGATCGAATGTTTGTTTTGGAAGTTTCGCAACGGAAGACCACTTAATGGGAGTCGCTCGTTTTCTGATTACTGTCACCAGTATCGCCACCACAGAATGTACGGGTCTACAAGATTATTTCAAAGCGAGGCTCATTAAAAGACCAAAATTTAATTTTTTAATAGAAAAAGAAAAATATAAAGACACACACGCACACGCGCGCGCGCCCATAGAAAAGTAACAGACAAATAAGAACAACGAAAAACCTACGCCTGTCCATTTTGAATATTACCAACCGAATTTCTGACTTTTATCAGAACTAGAAAATGTAACAGAATACGAAATCCAAGACTGTATTCGGATTTTATTCTGACAGCGATGGATTGCCTTTGTCTAAGTTTTAGAAAACAGCTAACGAGTCACTCTCCTGGAGGTCACTACAATGAGTCACTCTCCTGGAGGTTAACATTAGCTATACTGATGAAAGGCAGAAACTGTACTCTCAGACGATTAATTCAACAAAGGGCCACACTCAAATTGAAAGGCCGACTAAGACCACCCGCTCAGTCAACGTGCGACATGCATTAACGTGACGTCTTTCCTCCCGCTGCCTCGTAGAAGCCAAACTGCCACGTCTTCCCTCTCTTCTAATAAAAACGAATAAGGAAATGAAATCATCCTTTTTGTTGATATTATTATATGTAGTGGCTTGGGACCCAGAGACGACACAGAACGCAACAATAATTGAACACTGAGAGCGAATAATACATCATTTCTTAAGTTTCGTTTAGTCGAGCAACGAGTTATAGTAAAGCTACAATCATTGGGGATCGAACTCATACTATTACCAATACTCTGAGAAGAATATGTTATTCACCATCGGTGTAAGACATTCAAATATTTTCATAAGTAGATGATTAAGCTAATTTTAATTTCCTTAAAATATTTTTAATCATTTATCACAAGCAAGGCAATAAAACCAATAAGACACGGGCGGGGGGGGGGGGGTTAATGAGCTTAAAAGAATATAAAAAAAGAAAAACTTTATAAAGGAGCGAAAACAATAAAAGAACAGTTAATAAGAAGATAATTAAAATTGGATTTAAACTTTTGAAAGAAAATTTGACTGAAAAGCAAGACGCTGGAAGCGAGTTCCACAAGCGAGAAGTGCTATAGAAGAAACTGTTAGCATAGAACTTACGGGTACATCTAGCCAATTCAACTGTAAACTGATAGGACCTTGCCGCCAATCTAGTACTGCGCTTAAATTAAAAATGTCTAAGTATTATAGAAGAAAGTTAATCAGAACAATTACCATGGAAGTGTTCATAGTAAAGATACAGGGAATCCACGTTATGGCAGTTGGAAAGTGACTAAAGCCCAGATGTCAGGTCAAGAGCAATTATATCGCAGATTCTTTTTGGGATTTTTAAGCATCTTTAAATATATAGAAGCAGCAATACTGAATGCATGCGCGAAGGGTAGATTTATAAATATGTCAGATATATTCGGTTGAGAAATAGTCTAGCACTACACAGCGAACCAAGTTTCCTAGCAGAAGACCTAGCGATTCTCTGACGATTAATAGAGAACAGTTTCGTTTTGTAGGCGTTAAAATTAACAAGGCGTTTCTTTCTCCCGTTAACAACAGATTGCAGGTCAATTTTATATCAGTTTGACCTCATCGAACCGATCAGACTTACTTTTAAGACAAGAGCAAATATTTGTGTCATAAGCATAGATAACGAGTTGAGAACTGATGAAAATTGATAACAATGCAGACCCAAGTATATAACTCTGGTGAATGTCTGCAATAATGAAAAAATCTAGAAAATGGTCCGTACAATGCAACTTCCATATCGCGATTTGATAAGAACAACTGAATTCACAAATTAGTCCAGAAATATCATAACCTTTCAATTTGTGAAGCGAACAATATATCAAATCCTCTCAAATGCGAGCTATACAAAGTAACAGTCCGACCATCACCATTCTTAAAGCTTGATGAACTCTTTCCGCAATGATCGTTAATTCCTCAGCTGTTGACCTAGAAAAGCAAAAGCCATATGGATTATATGAAAGAAAACTCATTGATGTGAGGTTATTAAAGCTAAAGCATCCAGTACTTTGCTAAAAAGATGTAGAATGCCAATAGATCGATAGCTATAATTGACGATGAGACCAGGGTTCGAATCTCACTATAGTCTTTTTGTCAGGAAGGTAACTTCCTGATGTTATCGGAATGGAGTGGGGACGATCCTAGCGTGCAGCACATTTGGAAATTGCCTGAAAACCACGGAATGACCCAAGCGTTGTGACTGAAATTTGATAGACGGACCGTCGATAGCTGTCCTAGCACGTAGTCACAAGTCATCGTGGCCGAGGTCTAGAGCGTACTGGCCTTGTTCAAATTGTTGATCACGCTAGATAACACTATATTTCCCAGAAACTGTAACTAAGGTTTGCTCGGCACAGTTTCAGTATAAACCACAGGTGGGCTCTGTGGGTGTTGAATAAACACAAATGTGCCTGAGCAAGCGTCTGCAAAAGGTTTGGCTAGCTGCCCTAGTAGACGGTTATCCTTGAATACGAGTGGCAAGCTATACTATAAGGATTAGACGGTACCTTGAGTTCTTAAAGACAGGAAGTGGATTCCAAACAAGCAGTAAAGCAAGAAGCAGCAAGCATATATTGTAGTGTTTAGAGAGAAAAGGTGACAGGTCCAGGAGTATCTTTCTTAAAGACTATTGCATCATACAATCAAGTACACATGCTTTGAGAAGATCCAGTGTAGAGATGATAGCAGAAATTATGAACAGAGTTCTATGTATTTCACTCAATACAGACTCAATTCTAAGTAGAGAGTCAGGCAAAGATACTTCAGATAAGTCAAGAGTAGAATTTGAAGTGAAGTTACGAGCAGGGCGTTCTGCTTTAATTGTAGAAGATGTTAACACCTCAAATTGTGAGACGGTTAGAAGACCTACTCTTATTTAAGACACTATCACAGAGTCGCCAGTAGTTACGATAACCAGTTTTGTTCGAGACTGTGCAGTGCCTCATTCTATTAAGAAAGAAAACATTGCCTCCTTCAGGGCACATTTACAATTATTACAAGCAGAACACAAGCGTCTGTCGTGATTGTAACTATCCACCATTTTGTTTTAAAAAGAAAAAGGCCAAAATAATTATCACTATCTATCGTCGATGGTAATACAAACCGATCAGAAGGTGGCTAAGAATAAAACATAATGTAGACTCATAATTTCCCACCGGAAATACATGCAGCGACACCTAGTCAAGCGCGTCATGTCACTACAAATAACCAGATATTATGCGACTGTTGATCTGGGCAGCCACTCTAACCGCTACCAAAGGATTCAGGCTCGTTACTACCAGTTGAATGCAGCAACCAGAAAACTTCCAACCCAGTACCCTCATAATGAAAAGACGCATCACTGATCAATCAGATCACCAAAGATTTATGACAGTTAACCTGTAAATCATATCCTAAACAGAAAACAAGGGATAAACCTCGACTGCTGTTCCATAATCATGGAAGAAATGCTGACCGGGCCTTAGGCGAAACTACTCTCGTTTGAATATTGTTGTAGTTCGATTTTAAAAGTAAAATCCACATTATTCATACTGAAAAACACATTTACCGGTCTAACGTTATTCTGTTTAAAGTGTAGATAGTTTGGATACGAGAAATTAGGGACCCGAGTTCAAATCAGTTTTGTTAGTTCTTTTTATCAGTTTTGTTAGTTCTTTTTATCCCAAATACCATTTACAAAGGTATGAGTCCGTATCCATAGGTTAATTTATAACGCCCACTAGTCCCTTCATTTACTATTGTTGCACTGGTAGTATGTAGTTAGGATTAAAAGGGTTCATGTGAAAACCCCGTATAGGAATTGAAGAATTGGAAGGTTAAAATGGTTATGGTGAAAATATGAATAGAAATGTAAAATACAAACTGAAAAAAATAGAATTGTTAGGAATCATCAAATCCAGTAATGTAAGCAATCTGGAGTGTCGTTTTATAAAATGGACAGAAAATTATTTGGTTTGTATTGGTAAATCGACAATAAAGGGAATTCGACAACCAAGAAAATTATATGACATCAGAAATATAGAAATAATTTTTGAACACAAATGTTTGTTATCGGAAATTATTCTTGTCGGACATTGTATTGTTTTGAATTACTGACCGCTTTGTTTGAAGAGCGGTAGGAGTCGAGCGAAATACATAAAAACAGAGCGCTTATTTGGAGCCAAGAGTCGGCAAGAGACGCAGACGAGACGAGACGAGACAGCCGCGAACAAAAGAATTGTTGAACCCCACGTGACCTGCTGCCGCAAAAATTCCTAGCCGACCACCTTGTGATATTTTTAACGCGCTACAAGTTTTAGAAGAAAGAAATAAAGTGCCACGATAGAGAGTTTAACGGGAAGGAGTTCATTTTGTTGTATCAATGACTATATACACCAATTGAAAATTAACCCAGCGACCTTCTTCGTTATTTTGTTATGATATTTGCCTTAACCAGGTATTGAACTCACAACTCTTTGGGTCCTGTCACTGGATCTAACCAACGCCTTTATCTGCTGTGTCATGTGCCCGTAAACAAAGATGAGGACAATAGTCCGAATAATGTAAATAGTGTACATAATACCTCATCTCAGAAATATACGCAGA